ATATATATATATATATATATATATATATATATATATATATATATATATATATATATATATATATAAATATAAATATATATATATATATATATATATATATATATATATATATATATATATATATATATATATATATATATATATATATATATATATATATATACATGGATAGTGCAAAACCGCATAACTAGCATTTTATAATACCGTGTATCTACAGTACATATTTGTTAATGGAGAAGTTTAAAACTTTATTTATTTTTCATTTAAACTGATTTTGGGTTCATTTTAGTAAAAAGAGTATTATTCATATTTTTTGTAATCTCAACAATAAATATTTGGTGTTAAAATTAATAATATTCAAAAGTAGTCAATGCTAGTTACCCAGATTTGTACTATCCCCGACGATATATATATACTAATTAACAATTTACATTTAAGAAGTTTAATTTTTTTTTAGGGATTTAAATATTTACTAAATTCTATTATTTAATTTACATATAGTGTATACTATATATATATATATATATATATATATATATATATATATATATATATATATATATATATATATATATATATAAATTTTCAAAACATGCTTTTCACATATATATGTTCAAAATCAAAAAATTTCAATAAAATCTGAGATATATATATACATATATATATATATATATATATATATATATATATATATATATATATATATATATATATATATATATATATATATATATATATATATATATATATATATATATATATATATATATATATATATATATATATATATATATATATATATATATATATATATATATATATATATATATATATATATACATATATATATATATATATATATATATATATATATATATATATATATATATATATATGTATATATATATCTCAGATTTTATTGAAATTTTTTGATTTTGAACATATATATGTGAAAAGCATGTTTTGAAAATTTTAGATCAATATATAATATGGTTCTTGAGAAAACGCTATTTAAGTAGTGAGCTATTTTGCATGAAATTTCACAATCACAAAAAAAAATGAAATTTCACATTTCATTTTTTTTTGTGATTTTAATGATCTTAATCTTAAAAACAAGTTAAAAGATTAATACAAATCAAATTACCTGCTGATCTACATGTGGTGGATAAACATTTAAAAAAAAATTAGTTGATCAAAGTGCTGCATTTAAAAGTTATAGGTCTCCAAAATGGAGACCTATAACTAAGTCGGATCGAGATTTTCGAAAAATTGATCTATGATGCAAAGCATCTGTTACCTAAGATAGCACTTTTTTTTCATAAAATTTTGTATACGCATCAATTAAAGAGTGTTAATAAAAACCAAAAAAATTAATGAGCACTTATTAATAACCCCCAAAAGGTAGTCTCTAAAAGTCAGGTAAATTTTTTTATAAAAAACTATTACTTTTTAAAAGTTAAGTTATTGTTTCATTTAATTCTATATTACTATCTAAAAAGTATTATTATTACTATTATTAGTATTAAGTATTATTAGTACTACTACAATCTAAAAAGTATTATTATTACTATTATTAGTAAAAGTATTATTAGTACTATTACAATCTAAAAAGTACTAATAAAACCAAATAAATTGTTGTATTTTAAAACTAATTAATAATAAGTATATTACTTATGAGCCTGAGCTTTCTACTTGATGTATTGGTAAAGCATTAAATGAACAGTGCTATCTTATTAAGTTTAACATGTCTAAAAAAAGTAAATGCTACCAAGAACTGTCTACACTAACTGAGAGATTTTTTCTTTGAGAAGCAAAATAAATCCCATAGATTTTATTTGTAGCTATCACAAGAAAGTTTACTTGTATGAGAATGAACATCGCAGGTATTGTTGTAACCTGTTGAACAACCACGCAAAAAAAGTGAAAAGTAAGTTTTAATATTTAAACTAATATCTTAATTTAATACAAATACCTTAATAACACTAAATTAAAAAAAATAATAATGTTTAATAATTTTTACCATGATTTTTTAGATTCTCTTAGAGTTATCAGTCTTTCATATGCCAAAGATTTTGGTTTAATACCTGGTCAAAAAATTTGCACTAGTTGCAAAAAAGTTCTGAACTGCAAACATAATACAAAAAAAAATGAACTCCAAGAAAAAGAAATTTATGTTGACAACCATACATTAAAAGAAGATCTTAATTCAAGTATTGCAAGTTTTGGATGCTCACCTCTCAAACTTGTTTCAAAAAAAGATAGAGTTGCATATGGAAAGCGTAAAATTGATAGTGTAAGAGCTCATACACAAAAGGCTGTTGCCAATGTGCTAGGTAGAATTGAATCACCCTCAAGAAAATGTTTGAAAAAAACAAACACAGATTTAGACAATATTATGACTCAAATTAAGTCAAAATTTGAAAAAACATTGTCAAATTCTGAAAAAATCACACTTCTTACACTCACTCCAGACAGTTGGTCAATAGAGAAAACTGGATCTGTAGTACAAGCCAGAAAATTAAGGAAAAAAAGTGGAATACTATCAAAACCTTCTCCAAAACCAGGTAGAAAACTAAGCGAAGATGTTATTATAGAGGTTGTTCATTTCTATGAATGCGATAAATATTCAAGGGTTTGTCTAGGAAAGAAAGAGTTTATTTCAGTTAAAGTAGATAGTATAAAGCAACACATCCAAAAGCGACTTCTACTAGTCAATATTAAAGAGCTACATAATGAGTTTAAAAAGAAATATAATTATCTTAAAGTTGGATTTTCAAAATTTTGTGAGCTAAGGCCCAAGTGGTGCATTCCTGTGGGTAGTAAGCAACCGGGGTTGATATTTGACCAGGGCCAGGGCCGGGTTTGATAAAACATAGCTGGGGCCGGGTTTGTGACCGGGGCTGCATTAATATTGATATTCCTTATAAATATATTATTGTTATTTAAAACTCATGATATATTTTATATAAAGGTATATATATATATATATTATCTAATTGCCATCGTCATCATCATCATCATCATCATCATCTACATCATCATCATCATCATCATCATCATCATCATCATCATCATCATCATCATCATCATCATCATCATCATCATCATCATCATCATCATCATCATTATCATCATCATCAAGCATACAGTTGATGATGATGATAAGATGATTCTGATGATGATGATGATGATGACAATGATCATTATTATCATCATCTTAATCATTGGCATCAACAACAAGTGAGAGGGAGTTCAACAACAAGTGAGAGGGAATTCAAGGTTTCAAAGTTAATACAAAAAGATCGCATCAGACTTACAACACAGAATGTTGAAACACTTCTTTTTTTAAAATACAATTAAAGAGCTCTTTCTTATTCAACATATTTATGTGATGCCCCTGAAGACTTTACACAACCTAATTCAAAATACTATGATATCTGGGACACAGAATCATCAGAATTAGAGGAAGAAACTTAAATTATTATAAAGTGTCTTATTTCTTATATGTCATTGTAAATATTTATGAATTATATTATATTTGTATATATTATTTTTGTGACTTTTTCTTATATTTCCTTAAACTTTCACAAAAAATTTTAACTTGACAAAATTAAAAAAAAAAAGCAACAAAAACAATAATAAAAATCCAGCCCCGGCTAGTAACCCCTGCAAATTGTGTTTGTTTAGCCGGGGCCGAGTTTGCAAAAACCTCTGTTTATAGCCGGGGCCGGGGACCTGGTCACTTACTACCTGTGGGTGGTGCTTCTGGTCTGCATGCAGTTTGTGTTTGCTAGTACCATCAAAATGTAAAGCTCCTCGTACAGAAAATTTCTGGAATTGCTGATTACAAAATCTTATTGAAATTAATGGTTTGTAGCATTGAAAATAGAGATTGTATGCTGCATAGCTGCGATAAATGTCCTGCTAAAGAGGTTTTGTTAGATTACATTGACACAGAAAATGAAATTAGTGAAGTCAATTTTTATCAATGGCAAAAATCAAAATACCAATGTACTTTAGCACCAGCAACTTTACCTTTAGATGAATTTATTGAAATGGTTTATGAACAGTTAGATAATTTACAAGACAATCATTTTATATCAAAAAGTCAAGCCACCTACTACCAATATTTGAAAACTAATTCAAAAGAAAATCAAGCTTTAGTTCTTCTTGACTTTGCAGAAAACTACAGTTTTCTAATACAGGATGCAGTGCAAGGTTTTCACTGGAATAACAGCCAGGCAACTGTGCACCCCCTTTGTTGCGTGTTTTATAAAAGATGGAAAACTTGATAGTCAAAGTTATTTCAGATCATCTGAAACATGGAACAGATGCTGTTCATTGCTTTATCGATAATGTTATTGATAAACTTAAACAATTACAAACATTTGAACACATTATCTATTTTAGTGATAGAGCTGCATCACAATATAAAAATTACAAAAATGTTATCAACTTATGCTACCATAAACTCAATTTTAACATGACTGCAGAGTGGCACTTTTTTGCAACATCGCATGGTAAAAGCCCTTGTGATGGTGTTGGTGGAACAGTGAAACGTCTTGTTGCACAAGCCAGGCTATAGTCACTTGACACACTAAGCAAAATGTACACCTGGTGTGTTCAACGCGTCAAAGGAATATCTTTTTTTTTTTGTTTCAATAGAAACACATATTACAAACTTTAATTTGGAAGAGAGATATTGTTCTTGTTCTACAATACCTAGGACACGAAACCACCACAGTTTTATCCCAACGTCACTTACCTCAATAAAAATAAGAAGAGTTTCATTTGATAGTATTTGCACCAATGTGGATTTTGCTACTTGCAGAATTTTTATTAATAAAATTTCAAGTTACTCATCAGGAGAATATGTGGCCAGCGTTTACGAT